GTGCATCGAAGAGCTGTGTACAAAAGTAATTTGAGTTTATTTTTCTGTCTTGTGGGTAATTTACTATACAGGTTAGTTCATTTGTTTACTTCCATTTGTATGCAATTTTAGGTTTTTCTTTCCCCCATCTTTATTGACTCAATTTCATTGTTTTAATATTAAAACACTTACAGGTTTCTAAACGTCAAAACTACCAAAAATGGTCTGGCTTAAATAAGTGCCATCTCCTCTTAGACTTTCAGTCCATTCCCAGCCACCCACTGTAGGTAACCAATTTATTAATTTCTAAATTTATTAGTTTCTAGTTTATTCTTCCTGAGGTTTATTTATTTATTGTTTTTGCAAAATTAAGCAGACACTTGAATATTTTACTGTTTCCCCTTATTTTATAACAAAAAATTGCATAATACTATATGTACTCTTGTATTTAGCATTTTCAGTTATCAATATATCCTAGAAATCACTCCATATCGATTCATAAAGATCTTCCTCACTCTTTTTTACAACTGCGTAGTACTCCATTGTGTGGAGGTACCAGAGTTTATTCAACCAACTGCCTGTTTATTGGCATTGAGATTGTTTCCAAATTTTGTCACTGCAAACAATGTTGCAATAAATAACCTTAAACATATATATACTTTCATATTGGTGTAGGTGTTTCTTGAGGGTGAGTTGCTAATTGTAAATTGCTAGGTCAAAGGGTAAATACATACTAATTTTTTTAGATATTGCCAAGTCTCCTCTACAGTTGTACCATCTTGCATTGCCACCAGCAGTGTTTCTTTCAGAGTGCCTGTTACCCCAAGGCTGTCCTATTGCTTTGACTTTCTGCAAACTGTGGCACTTAGAAGTGATAGCTCAGAGTTATGTGCATTTCTCGGTCGTGAAAGGAAATAAACATTCGTTTAAGGGCCCAGTTTTATATCATTTTTTTGCAGATTGTCCATTCATGCCTTTTGCCCTTTTTTAAATTGGATTTTTTGGTCCTTAGTTCCCTCAGTTTGCCAGTCCTTTATTTGCTGTGGGCTTTTCTTTGCTTGGCTATAGGGTTTTTGTTTTTCAGTGCTGCCCAACGTAGCTATCTTTATTTTTCCCATGCACCTGGATTTTGGGTTGTTAGAAAGCCTTTCTGGCCCACACCCAGGTTATGGAATTCAGCCCGGTTTCCCGGCAGCGGGTGGGACAGTTCCGTTCTTTGTACTAACATTTGATGGTACAAATAACATTTGACGGACCCGCCCGGAGCCTGCGGGGGGCGGGCGGGCAGAGCGGGAACCGCGGCTCTCAGGCCTCAG